GGAGAGAAACCCTGTGAATATAAGGAATATGGTGAAGCTTTTTATCAAATCATTGTTCTTCAAAGTGATGAAAGAACACATACTGGAGAGAAACCTTATGAATGTAAGGAATATGGTGAACCTTTTTATGAAAACAGTGTTCTTCAAAGTGACAAAAGAACACATACTGGAGAGAAACCCTATGATTGTAAGGAATATGGTAAAGGTTTTGATCAAAACAGTGTTCTTCAAAGTGATGAAAGAACACATACTGGAGAGAAACCCTATGATTATAAGGAATATGGTGAAGCTTTTTATCAAAACATTGTTCTTCAAAGTGACAAAAGAACACATACTGGAGAGAGACCCTATGATTGTAAGGAATATGGTAAAGATTTTGATCAAAACACTGTTCTTCAAAGTGATGAAACAACACATACTGGTGAGAAACCCTATGAATGTAAGGAATATGGTGAAGTCTTTGATCAAAACAATGTTCTTCAAAGTGATGAAAGAACACATACTGGAGAGAAACTCTATGAAAGGAAGGAATATGGTGAAGCTTTTAATCAAAACAGTGTTCTTCAAAGTAATGAAAGAACACATCCTGGAGAGAAACCCTATGAATGTAAGGAATATGGTGAAGCTTTTGATCAAAACAGTGTTTTTCAGAGTGATGAAAGAACACATACTGGAGAGAAACCATATGCATGTAACCAATGTAGTAAGGCCTTTGCACGTCGCAGTCATCTTCAAAGGCATAAAAGAACACATACTAGAGAGAAACCTTTTCAATGTAAGGAATGTGGTAAAACCTTTGCTCAAAACAGTGTTCTTCAAAGTCATGAAAGAACACATAGAGGAGAGAAACCCTATGAATGTAATCAATGTAATAAAGCTTTTGTACGTCATAGTCATCTTCAAAGGCATAAAAGAACACATACTAGAGAGAAGCCTTTTCAATGTAAGGAATGTGGTAAAACCTTTGCTCGCAACAGTGTTCTTCAAAGTCATGAAAGAACCCATACTGGAGAGAAACCGTATGAATGTAATCAATGTAGTAAAGCCTTCATACGTCATAGTCATCTTCAAAGGCATAAAAGAATACATACTAGAGAGAAACCCTTTGAATGTAAGGAATGTGGTAAAGCCTTTGCTCAAAAGACTGTTCTTCAAAGTCATGAAAGAACACATACTGGAGAGAAACCCTATGAATGTAATCAATGTAATAAAGCCTTTGCACATCACAGTCATCTTCAAAGGCACAAAAGAACACATACTGGAGAGAAACCCTATGAATGTAGTCAGTGTGGTAAAACCTTTTCTCAAAACAGTGTTCTTCAAAGTCATGAAAGAACACATACTGGAGAGAAATCATATGAATGTAACCTATGTAATAAAGCCTTTGTAAGTCACAGTCATCTTCAAAGACATACAAAAACACATACTGGGGAGAAACCCTATGAATGTAGTCAGTGTGGCAAAGCCTTTGCTCAAAACAGTGTTCTTCAAAGTCATGAAAGAATACATACTGGAGAAAAATCATATGAATGCAATGTATGTAGTAAAGCCTTTGTACGTCACAGTCATCTTCAAAGACATAAAAGAATACATACTGGAGAGAAACCCTATGAATGTAATCAGTGTGGCAAAGCCTTTGCTGAAAACAGTATTCTTCAAAGTCATGAAAGAACACACACTGGAGAGAAACCATATGCATGTAACCAATGTAGTAAAACCTTTTTTCGTCACAATCATCTTCGAAGGCATAAAAGAACACATACTGGAGAAAAACCCTATGAATGTAGCCAATGTGGTAAAGCCTTTGCTCGAAACAGTATTCTTCAAAGTCATGAAAGAACACATACTGGAGAGAAACCCTATGAATGTAATCAATGTATTAAAGCCTTTACACATCATAGTCATCTTCAAAGGCATGAAAGAACACATACTGGAGATAAACCCTTTGAATGTTACCAATGTGGTAAAGCCTTTGCTCAAAACAGTGTTCTTCAAAGTCATGAAAGAACACATACTGGAGAGAAACCGTATGAATGTAATCAATGTAGTAAAGCCTTTGTACGTCATAGTCATCTTCAAAGGCATAAAAGAACACATACTACTGAAACCCTATGAATGTAAAATCAATGTGGTAAAGCCTTTTCTCAAAACACTGTTCTTCAAAGTCATGAAAGAACACTTACTGGAGAGAAACCCTATGAATGTAACCAATGTAATAAAGCCTTTGTACATCACAGTCATCTTCAAAGGCCTAAAAGAACATGTACCAGAGAGAAACCTTTGAATGTTAAGAATGTGGTAAAGCCTCTTCTCTTTTTTAAAAAAATATTTATTTATTTATTATTTACACAGAAGAGGGTGCCAGATCTCATTACAGATGGTTGTGAGCCACCATGTGGGTGCTGGGAATTGAACTCAGGACCTCTGGAAGAACAGTCAGTGCTCTTAACCTCTGAGCCATCTCTCTAGCCCATTTTTTTAAACATCTTTTTTTTGGAGGACTGGAGGCTCAGCGGTTAAGAGCACTGGTTGTTCTTCCAGAGGTCCTGAGTTCAATTCCCAGCAACCACCTGGTAGCTCCCAACCATCTATAATGAGACCTGGTAGCCTCTTCTGGCCTGCAAGTGTATGTGCAGACAGAACACTGTATACATAATAAATAAATAAATCTTAAAAAAAAAAAAAGCATGCATCACCATGCCTGGCAAATTCAAGAATTTTGAGCTGGGAGGCAGTGGCGCATGCCTTTTATCCCAGCACTCAGTAGGCATAGCCAGGCGGATCTCTGTGAGTTCAAGGCCAGCCTAGACTACCAAGTGAATTCCAGAAAAAGGCTCAAAGCTACACAGAGAAACCCTGTCTTGAAAAACCAAAAAAGGCCTTTTCTCAAAACAGTGTCCTTCAAAGTCACAAAAGAACACATACTCAAGAGAAATCCCATGAATGTAACTAATATAGTAAAGCCTTTATACATCACAGTCATCTTAAAAGACATGAAAGAACACATGCTGGAGAGAAACCGTTTGAATGTAACCAATGTGGCAAAGCCCTTTGCACATCATAATAATCTTAAAATACATTAAAGAAAACATACTGGAAAGTAATTCTACAAGAGTAATACTATTATTCAATTGGTATTTTAAAGCCTGTGAATATAACATTAGATTTTGAAGATCTAAAACCAACTCATACCAAAGGAAATGTGACGATAAAGGATTTTGTGAGATCTTCAGCCAACACACTTACATTCACTTACACATTTTTTTCTTGAGAGAAAAATCTCACAGGTGTCAAAAATCTCTTCAAGCATTATAATGTCACTCTCTATTTGGTTTATACCTGCAAATTGACATGATCAAAAGGACTATGGATTTAAATGATATGGTAACTCTTTTAGAATTTATACTTCTAATTTAGAATTAAAACTTAATGAATGTGTACTAATTCATTTCTCTTGCTGTGATGTGACATCATGTCATTGTGAACATAAAAAAAGTGTTTAATTTGCCCTTGGCTCCAGAGCATTACAGGATCAGCATGGAAGTGGCATGGAAACAAGTGGCAGTCATGGCAGGGAAAGTGGGAAACTAAAAATTCACACCCTTAATCTGCCACATAAATCATAAAATGTAAATTGGAAATGGTACACACTCAGGCCAACCCCCAGTGATATATTTCCTCCAGCAGGGCAATATTTCCTAAATTTTCCCAAATAATACCATAGACTGAGAATGATTGATTTCTCTGATGTCAAGCCTACATGCTTGCTTTCTGTTACATGAACCAATACACGATGGAGAGAAACTCTGTAAGACTTCAGATGCCTCAAGACCTTTGTGACTAGAATTACAAGAGAAAAATATACATAAGTAAAAATTAGTTAAATATTTGTTTTAATTTTAATTACATCTTGTCAGTCTATACTTGTACATGTGTATTCTGCTTCGAAAGAAGATTAGACCCTTGGAACTTCTTGTAGTGGGAATTACTGCAAGTTTTCAAAATTCTGATTTTGGTCCTGGGAATGAGTTTGTATTAAGATATTGGCCATGTCTCTAGCCTTGTAAATATTTGAGAGCTTTTTTAAAATATCATATTGATACAAGGAAATAGGAAAGAACTAATATAGGAAAAAAACCTGTTCATGTAAACATTTGGTAAAACTTTAGACATCACAGTTGTCTTCAGTTTCAAGAAAAAGAAACTTGTAATATCCCTTTTTCCTTGCAGTAAGTAAATTATTATACATGTTTACTAAAGCCTGATAAGATCATATTATGGCTTCCATTTTGCAACATTTGAGATATATGTTGAATTGGCTATGTGTATGGCAAATCCATTTAGTGAAGTTTATTTTGTGGTCCTTATATTCCTAGTGGCTTTTGTTCATGCTCTATTGTGCTTCACTTCATGGGAGATATTTTTCTGCTGCAATATATATAAGAATGACCATCATCTAATTGATGTATTTTTATTTAAATATCATTCAGCATATGATCATAATTTTCAAGTAAGGGTGTCTGTGCAAGTGTGGTTGATTTTTATTCCTGGTTTTATTTTTTGTATTTTTAAATAAATTCCCTGGAAATGCAGTTTGTTATCCTGCCTAGCTTAGACATCAGTAATAGGTCTGGTTGATGATTCAACTCCTAATCCTCATGTATCGGTCTCCTAAGTACAATTCTAAGTGTAGATGATGTACTCTCAAAATTTTTCTGTTTTGGGAAAACATTTTAACAATGTTAATGTTAAAATACTTAATAAACAATATAAAATGAAATTAAATACCTCATGTGTGTATGCAAAAAGCATTTTATTATATGTATTTCCTCATCTTTGAGGTTTTCTTTTAATTTTTCTCAGGTATTGTTTTTTCTTTTTCTATTTAGAGCACTTTATTCTTTGTCTCAGGCTTTTCTCACATAATATAATTGAGAATTGCTTTGATCATTTAATTCCTTTTTTTTACCTTATTACCCAAACATTTATACATGATACACACACACACACACACACACACACACACACATATACATATATATACATATATATATTATGATTTTTTCTCTTTTTTTAATTTAATTTAATTTTATTTTACAATACCATTCAGTTCTACATATCAGCCACAGGTTCCCCTATTCTCCCCCCTTCCACACCCTCCCCTTACCCCCAGCCTACCCCTCATTCCCACCTCCTCCAGGGCAAATCTTCCACCGAGGACTGCAATCAACCTGGTAGACTCAGTCCAGGCAGGTTTAGTCCCTTCCTCCCAGACTGAGCGAAGTGTCCCTGCATAAGCTCCAGGTTTCAAACAGCCAACTCATGCAATGAGCACAGGACTTGGTCCCACTGCCTAGTTGCC